TTTAAATACACCAACCGCTTTTAGTTGTTAGGGGTTGGTACGCATTTGAATCTCAAATTTGGGCAATTCATTGAGTTCAAGGCCCAAGCAGCCGCAAGTCAATAAGGTACCCTTGCAAAGGTGTAACCGAGACAACTACTTACTCTATATGCATGGTCCAAAAGCGTTGAGTTCTGTAGTCAAATAGCTGGCGCTGCAAAATGCCACCTAGCAATGTTGAATTGAACTCAGTGGAAAGGCGCCGCTAAGAGACTCGTTGGTGACCTCGTCTATAGGATACATTTCGAATGAGTGTGCGAAGCAATTACATGATTTAATTCCAACCTCCCCTTTCCACCATCGGACAACCAGACACTCGCGCGTCTCCATCTCTTTGTTGTTGATATTCCACGCATTCAATCTAAACGGTCTGCTTCGTTTTTCGTAATGTATTCACGAAGAGAGTGGAAAAATGGCCAGCATCCGTCTTCCCATTCGATTACATCGTGTCTTCAAGACAGGATTTAATAGGTTTTTTTCGAGATAAATGAGTGCACCTTACATCACCACATACAAGTGAGATACTAGTCAGACACTGGCATAATAGTTAAAAAGTATGATGTCTTTCCTCGATACCTTTTTCTTATTTTTCATTAACCCATAAACTGCTAGACATGGATTCTACGTCGATAAAGCCATGTTGCAGATATATAATTGTAGCATGGATAGGTCGGCTCGATCGGGGAAGGACAACGCTTTCACAGAATACCAGCATAAAATAGCAGCTTAATGCTGCTGTGTTACGTATGCTGAGTGTAGAGAACCGGAGACCCACTTTATTGAAAACTAGGCATGCCATCTGAGTCCTCAGGGGTGACAATGTATCTGTATTTTGAATCTTAATCGAGAATAAACGTGAGCTCTTTTTCCACTCTTATTCTATAAAAATGGACATGACTCCCATGCCTGTTAAATATACAAAAACCCCCGGACAACATAACAACATTGATAGTGAAAACATTAGGAATACAAATTGTTTATTGTGTATTTGTTTGTGCAGACTTTGGTCTGCACTGGGTCACGAACCCGGCAGATTCTATGACTTATCTGTCTCGGAATTAATTATTTAGGTTCATACAAACATCCTTAATATGAGTACAAACATTTTTGTAAACCTAAAACCACGGTCGATAATGAAAATAAAAAGTTTACATAATTCTATACATATAAATAAAATTAAAGTGTCTGTATTATCGAAAGAACGATCTTTTACTTACTAAGCACAGAGAATTATTAGCATGCTATTAAGGCATAACCATTTTATATTTGTTTTTAATCTGCCTGATTGTCTGTATTTCTTACTGTCTGAGCTAACAGAATGGCTAAATCGATTGTGATGTAACTTCACGAACGTATAAAAGGAACGGAAAAACACCGTATATTCAATAACGTATGACTATAACTGATATGACATGGTCAAGTCTATAGACCTCAGAACGCAATTACTCGCTACCGAGAGCTCTGGACTGTAGTATCTACTTAACATCAGGTGAACTGCTAGCTCGCTTTTCACTACCATTTTATAAAAAAAATGTGACGTAAGACAGAATAGTTTTTTTTTTATAGAATAAAAAGCGAGCACAAAGTCCACCTGATGGTAAGTGGTTGCTATGGCCCATAGACATCTACATCTATCCTCGTTTGCGAATCAAAATGTAGATTCGTAGTCAGAGGTGAGAACTAAGATGGAATGCCTCTTTTCCAGTAAAAAGGGTCTCCGGTTCTCTACACTCACCATACGAAACACAGCAGCATTAAACTGCTATTTTATGCTGGTATTCTGTGAGAGCGTGGTCCTTCCCCGGTCGAGCCGACCCATTCGCGCTACGGCCTATTATTTATTCTGTGCTACAACTATACAATTAATATAGCTACAACATGGAATGAATTAAATACAGATTATTACAAAATACTTATTGAAAGCAAGTTTTTATTGAACACTGTGGTTCAAAAAATTGGACTACGTAATACTGGATTAGGAATCTCACTAGCCTAAAAAGAACCAGCAAAAATCCAACGGAAAAAAAATTAGTACAAAGTTCACAATAATATTTTTCAATAAGAGATGACACACAGAATGAACTTTTTTAATTTCTTTGTAAAATTTTATAATAATGAATAATCTATTCCACCATCCTCACTAAGCATTTGCATTCGACAAAATACAATCGCTGACGATTGTATCACGCTGAACATATGAACAGGCATTTTTGCCACACCCGTAACCTTTAAAGCGACGCAGGTGAGTTGCTGACGAAGAAACAAGAAAGGGATTAAATGCTTTACACGTGAAACTTGTTATTCAAATCAAAATGAATCGTCATCGGTGGAAGATTACCTTACATGTATTTATAACGTAGTCGTTCTATACTCTATCGTTAATCGTTATGTTTTTCTTTGTTTTTATTTCCTTGGTTTTTTATAAGACTATCACAATATATATAAATATATACATATATTATCTAAACATATATATATATATATATATATATATATATATATATATATATATATATATATATATATATATATACATGCACATACATAATTAAATATAGCAGTTTCTAATTCAAATACCTATAAAATATATAAAATAAAAACAGGAAAAGGAAAAGTTGGAATTTGAAGGATATGAAAAAATATGGAAAACCACAAACTACTCCTGCAATGTCATAAAATGGTTCCAGAGCAAGCGTTTGAAGTTTGAACCACATGAGTTTTACTCTGTGTTTGAACGATGCCTTGCTCGTGGCTGCGCGTACACTGCTCGGTAACTCGTTCCATAATCTTTCCGCACGGGAAGTAAAAGATTTGTACAAATAGTTAGTGTGACAAAGGGGGACATGGGGTTATACCTATCCTGTGGGAGTTTAATATGTAATGTTCATTACTGTCCTGTTAAGATATACAGAAGAGATACAGTTGGTGAGTGCAGAGGTCATTTACCTTAGTCCCTCCCGTGGCCGTGTATATCAGTTATAGATATATTTAACACTTTTCGATTTACCAAAGAATATCCTCTATATTTTTCGGATAGGAAAGCCTAGACAACTCCTGACTTTGCACTCTATACCTTCGCGAAGTTACATCACAATCGATTCAGCATTTCCATTTAGCCCGGACAGTCAGACATACAGATAAGCAAAATTTTTAAAAATGGTTATTCACGTCGCATGCTACTAATTCTATTACAGCATAGTAGATAAATAAATAAGTAGCTAGTTAACAGGCAGAGACTCAATTTTATTAATTTGTGTATATTTATGCAAGCTTTTTATTTTTCTTATCAACCATGGTTTTAGGCTTACAAAAATATTTGTACTCATATTAAGGATGTTTGTATGAATCTAAATAATTAATTTCGAGACAGATAAGGTGTGAGATCTGCCGGGTTCGTGACCTTTGAGAGACTTTGTTGAGACTTCGTTCCTCCACAATAAACATCTTGTAGGGATGCGCAATTTTCCTGTTATCAATGTTGTTGCTGTTGTTGTCCTGGGGTTTTATGAATGAGAATGGGAGTCCCCAAACTGTATTAATGTATGTAATGTAATGTAAGTACCTTAATTATCTCCCATTACAACCTTTCTAGATTTATTAATTTATACTTAAATAATTTAAAAACTGCTGTTGAGACTATCGGTATGTAAAGTTAAGCTACCGTGTGTAGTAAAGTTTTTATAGAAATCTTGTCCGCGACTTGTCATCACGGGCCAAGCGCGATGATGAAAGCAAAGCCTTCCAACGGCAGAATTTTTATAGAAATCTACTCCATCTTCGACTAAGTATCAAAATGCATATGCGTTGTCAACCCTGAGGATTACGATGGATTGGCTCGTTTCCACTAAAATGGGTCTCTGGATACTCACCATACAAGACACAGACAGTAGAATTAAACTGCTGGTATTCTGTGAGAGCGTTCCTCTCCCGGACGTGCCGGCCCTATTTATACAACTAATATGTCTTCAGCATGGCTCTACTACATATAATCCATATCTAGGAGTTTATGGGTTGATGAAAAATAAGACAAAGATATATCGAGCCGAGACCTCATTCTTTTTTAATACGCTTTTAATTACCTCCGCGTGTACATATCTATCAATCCCAGAAAACGTTAAATCTATTTGTACATATATAAACACGTTTTCTGCATATAATTAATGAAAATAAATTGAGCATAAAAAACTAGTTTAGTTTAATAAATCGTAACTTTTATACACTTCATGCGTTGCCAACTATTTTTAAACACATTCAATTCAATTCTTAATAAAAGGTCATAAGTCATAAGATGAAAACAAATAAGTACCAATTTTCTGTAATCAATTTCGCATAGGTTCTAGAACTACACGACTACACGCCTCGTAAGGACCTTTGTATGCCAGAATAGAATTCAATCAGATGATGCAATACTACACCGAGCTTTGTAAATGTTGTGATGAAATATACGCACAAAATTTCACCGATTCAATTTGTTCAATCAGCAAACCAAAGCGTGGAAAACAAACTTACTTTTAATATATTTAAAAATATGTACCTACCTTATTTTATAAAAATACAACAAATAACACATTGATCATTGTCTATTTATTCTATTAATTATTTTCATACACATTGCCGCCTTAAACAGAGAACGCGCAAATTTGACACGTAATTGTCACGCCTCCGTTTTAGACCAATCAGCGTTCGTTAATCGCGCACTCCTCCGTTATATATAACGCGCGTGCAAATAATCTAATAACATTGCCATTTCAAAACGCTTATAGTAACGTTCAGTTATTAAATGGGTGATAGATTTACTATAATTAAATATTATAGATGGCTATTGTTCTTATTTAGCTTCAGTAATTTCGATAAAATTTAGTTTTTTCTTTAATTTTAATATATTAATTTTACGCTTTTAAGTTATTAAATCTTTACTTAATTAAGTATATTAACTTACCTATTTTATATTAAAAATAAAAATGTTGCACCTAAACTCCATTCCTGAAGTCTACGTTACGAAAGTTGCTCAGTAAGTACTTATTTATTTTAACGGTTATATCTAACTAGCTAGCATAGCTGTAGCGTGACTCTATCACGTAAAATACATACTATTCGAGAACATGACAATCCCTCTTTGGAATAGGTAAAAAAGTTGTAACCTACATGGCGGTAGAGCGCTTTATTATTGGAGTCTATGTAGAAAGATCCTATAAACCTATTACCTATTTCAGCAACTTAGAGCCAGTAGCAGCGGAATCGCCTCTAGATTCTTTTCAAACAATTTAGAGAGCCAATGTAATTAAAGAAAAATAATCTTTTACACATGGGTATATGCAAGCATTGCATTCTTTGTTCGAAGTAGTTACAGTTTGGATTGTTACAGTTATCCACATATTGTAATAGCCATTTACCGTCATATGGGGATCGCAGACGTTTGTCACTCTCTAAGTTATGTTTGTCAACAATGTCTTTGTTCACAGGTGCGCGCAAGTGGCGCTAGGGTGCAGCCGTGCCGCCCACCAGACCGCACTCCGGGGTACCATCAAGGCTAGTCCTCAGCTGGCCGCACTTACTCCAAAGGTATATTTTATATGAACTAGTAACATTTTGAATATCATACCGTGCCTTAACAATAGTATAACTAACCAGCTATTTATAATATATATATATATATATATATATATATATATATATATATATATATATATATATATATACACATACTAGCTGACCAGGCAGACGTTGTTCTTCCTTTCCGACGACCATGTGTCCTAAAAAAAATCATTACATTCACAATTAAAAAAATTGAGGGTCCCTTATCGGCATAGAAACTATCCTATCTCTCAAGTTGGACCAAACTGCACACATTGTGAAACATTTCATTGAAATCAGTTCAGTAGTTTAGGAGTTCATCGCGGACAAACATTGTGATACATAATTTTTATATATAAAGATATATAAGCCTCAGCCTTTGTTAGTTTAACTAGCTGGTCCCCGCGACTTCGCCCGCGTGGAATTTATGATGATTGGATTTTATGAGTTTTAATTTTTATGCGCGGATTCTTAATTATTTTTCTAAAATGAAATAAGTTACTCCTAATAACATTAGCTATCTGCCAGTAAAAGTCCCGTCAATATCGGTCCAGTCGTTTCGGAGATTAGCCAGAACAAGCAGACAGACAGACAAACATTTTTAAAATTGTGTTTTTGTTACAAGTACGTATATACTTTCATATGCATTTAATAAAAAACTGTTATTTTGACATTACAAACCGACCATTCAATTTTATTTATTTGTGTAGAATAGATATAAGCATTTCCTTGGCTGTAGGATTTGCCGTAACCATCAGAAAAAAGTTACGAAAAATGGTAATTCAATATTAAAGAGTGATTGTGCAACTGTAATAATTTCTTCAAATTTGATTCTGAAATACAAAACCCAGAAATAACAACAATACCAATTCTGCCACTGAAATTATTAAAAAATTAAACTAACAATGAAATGATTTCTGAAGTCGACCACTAGACATGTCCTATAGAAGAATTTAAGCCCCGAGTATAGAAAATATTATTGTGATTTTTTTTTAGTTTTTAGTTACCTATTACAAATTTAAAAAATTTAATTATTTTGAGTGGACTGAGTTATATCACAAGCTCAAGGTAACGTCTAGAATGTCGTTTTAATAGTTACATTGAATTTTTTTTTTGTAAATTAAGGTTGAAAAACGAGCACACAGTCTACCTAGATGTTGCAGCCCATAGACATCTATTCTCGATTGAGAATCAAAATGCAGATGCGTTGTCACCCCTGAGGACTAAAATGGAATGCCGCGTTTTCTGTAAAAAAAAGTCTCAAAGAATTTTCAATAATCTAAAAACAACATCCTTGAAATTCATATTTAATACAAGCGGTAAAATAAAAAAAAATTGTACAAACGACTTCAATATAAATAAAATGAGAAAGAACATCATCAATGTAGTCTAAGTCAATTAAATACGCATTATTAGGGAGAACTCAAAAATTACTGCTTAGATCAAATTTATATCGAACCACTTGAGAAGAATCATCAAAATCGGTTCACCTAGAAAAATCGGTTCACCTAGAAAAAAGTTCTGAGGTAACACTCCTCCTTTTTAGAAGCCGGTTGAAAAAAGAATCATTAAAACCGGTTCAAAATTGACGAAAATGTCGCGTAGGTATATGCAAAATACGTGCAGTTACCGTAAGAAAATAAGTATTAAATAATTATATTTTATTGCAACTAGCATCAGTTTAACTAATGTAAAAACAAAAATAAATATCGAATATCACTTTAAAGGCAAACAATCTAAATTATATTGACATACGGAATTATTTTAGTTAAATTGATGCAACAGTTGTCTTTTACCATTTACCCGGTCAACTAGTAACCTAACGTCTAAAGTTCAGGCATTTGCTCCTCATAGATACATTACACAACTGGCTTGCACCTTATCGCAGTCAGTAGATCGGGCCACAGTGTGCGTCTATTTAGTTCCACGCCACGACCGTGAAATAACGGAACTGAATGTTGTTTGGTAATAATTAACATTGTTTTAAATAGGTCAAAATATTGCTCAATACTTGCAATTATTTGCGACTAAAAATTTATTAAAAAATTTAAATTATTTTTTATAATAGACAATACTCTCATTGTTTTGCAAACAAATTGCTTAATTGATGGATTAATTGCACTCATCAACTCACCTGTCCAACGTGATGAATGGGAATGTGGAAAGAGAACAAATCGAGAAAAGTGTACTTAAAAGTCTATCCAATCTACTACTTGCAGTACATTGCATTATGGATTCAAATGGTTGATAAAGAAAATTGGTTGCTATATCTCGATCTCGTCTTGGATAACACACGATTTGTGTGAAGTGATAATACACCGTTATATACTTTGATTTAGAGAGGCCTTTGACATAAATTATGAATTATTAAGAAAATAGTTGTTTCGATCAAACTCTTAAAATAATCGCCAATCGCACTTCAGCTAAACTAATCTACCCGTTTAGTAAGTACATTATATATCAATGCCTTTTAATAATTGATATACAATTTTTTTAGTATATCAATGCCTTTAATGGGTATTTTAGTACCAATTTAATAGATTTGATGAAATTAACATTACGAATTCTATTATTCAATAAATTCAAGCTGAAGTAGCAATGGGCTGGCCATATAGCTGTATGTAGCGTCGACCTTTTTTTTATAGGATAAGGATGACAAACGAGCACTCAATCCACCTGATGTTAAGTGGTTGCTGCGGCCCATAGACATCTACATCTATCCTCTATTACAAATCAAAATGCAGATGCGTTGTCACCCGTGAGGACTAAGATGGAATGCCTCATTTCCAGTAAAAAGGGTATCCGGTTCTCTACACTCGCCATATGAAACAAAGCAGCGTTAAGTTGCTATTTTACGCTGGTATTCTGTGAGAGCACGGTCTTTCCCCGGTCGAGCCCACCCATTCATGCTACAACTATACTACTAATATAGCTGCTGCATGGCTCTACCACGTGTAAACCTAGAAAGACATGCGGGAAGTCGATGAATGTAAGTGACACAGGTGTTCAGCAATGGACTGTAATGGTGAAACTAACATTTAACACTAAGAAACTTACCATTATACCTCTACCTCATAGGTTCGAGCGTTCGTAGAACGAAGCGCGGCTCTATGCGAACCGGAACACGTGCATATCTGCGATGGATCCGAAGCGGAGGCGACTGCCTTGCTACAGCTCATGCAGCAGCAAGGCACGCTTCGCCGTCTGCCCAAGTACGACAATTGGTGAGTGTTGTTTTTTCAGTTTTTTTTTTTAACTAACCAGAAGCGCATTTTGGATAAAGTCCACAACGCCTGAGTCTTGGTCATTAGAATTTAAGGGACTGCAAAATGTGAATAGACAACTAGATATATTCCACAAACCGATGGAGTGTTTTTATCTTCTTCAAGGGCACACATCAATGTGTGAGTGAAAGATATTTTACAAGAGGAATTATTTTCCACTAATAAACTAATAATTAACCTTTTCTATACAATAAGGACACCATTACGGGCTTTTTTATTAAAAAAAAAACGTTACCTCCTACTAGGATTTTCTTCTGTATCGTGGGGGCAGTTTACATACATAAATTTCACAAGGACAAACATCCACACCCAGAACAATTATTTGTAGACCATACAAAGAGTTGCTCCGTGCGGGATTCGAACCCGCTGCTCTTAGCACAGCACTTCATTGCTAAGCCATTGCGCCACGGAGCTGTGCGTCCGAGCTAGGCCTAGGAAAGCACATACACATCATTTTTTAAACTTTAACACTTTAAACACTTAGTCAAAGGAAAGAAAAAAGAGCCACTATATATAATAATATATTATTCAATATAATATATTATATTGAATGTTCTTCGTAAGAGTTTTCCTCGTCATTTGTAGTCGTAGTACGTTGTACTATTATTTATTCTGTGGTCGTAGCGCGTTACACAACCATTTATTTGCAGCTGGTTAGCTCGCACCGATCCAGCTGATGTGGCTCGTGTGGAATCACGAACATTTATCTGTTCCGAAAAAGAGCGCGATGTGGTACCAGCAGCCAGAGCCGGTCAGAAATCTGCTCTAGGAAATTACATCACGCCAATGGATTACGAGAAGGCTATCTCTGAGAGATTCCCTGGTTGTATGCGAGGTAAGGTGCTAAATATTTAAAAGTGACAAAGGTTCTCAATTAATATCGTTTACATTAATAATTCCGGTATTATATATAGTAGCAGTATAGTAGTACATAATATATTATTCCATGTTATGTACTGCAAACTACTAATATATATTATACCTTTTAAGAGAGTAAGCATACATAACTGAAATGCAAGTCGCCTTTTAAATTACAAATGCAAAGAATCCTAGTTATTTTCTCCTTATATAATCACTCGTCGGAATGTATTAATTTAACAGTAGCTTTTGTGTTTTTATAAACATCGTATAACGCTTTGTGTATTAAGACAATATAAATTACATTTGTTATCCTTTTAAAAATCAAATAGAGCTCAATAGCTCTTCTTTTACCTGACTGTCCCAGAAAGAGGGTGTTCCTTTTCTGACTTACCTATGCATGTGAACTAGACCAATAGACAAGTGGTAAAATTCAAATTTTTTTACAACCGACTTTAATATAAATTATGAACGATAACTCAAAAACAAAAGTTTTGTGGTTATACCTTGATAAAATTTATATGAAACCACATGAGAAGCAACAGCTTTCAAATGAAAAAAGAATCATCAAAATCGGTTCACCTAGAAAAAAGTTATAAGGTAACACATAAAAAAAAACATAGTCGAATAGAAGACCTCCTCTTTATTGAAGTCGAGAAAAAAGAAGTAGTGCTAAAAACGAGTTTATCGCTACCTGAGATGAAAATATTTTTCTGTGACGACCTGGTAATACATGCAGGAAGTCGATGGATGCAGGTGGCTCAGGACCGTGCTTTGTGGCATTCCTTGGGGGAGGCTTATGTTCTGCACTGCAGTGGACTTGTGAAGGGCTGCAATGATGATGATGAAGATGATGATGATGATATACAACGTAACTTTTTCTAGTTAATGAACACAATAATATATTGATAGAATTTACATTGATTGACACATAAATCTCTAGAATTGGACAATGTGTTTAGTTAATTATTTATTTCAAACCAAAGCCTTCTTTATACACTACTAGTATTCAAACAGCCAAATTTTGCCGAACTCTTCATCATAGTGCTAATAGGTGTTTGCAATAGCACGTGATATAATACATAGCAATGATTAGTCTGTGGTTTATTTACAAATTTTTCGAGGCATTTTTCTTAGCCTTTCACATGTATAAATATTTTCATAAGCTGATTGTATTAAAAATATTTTATTTTTTTAAGGTCGCACTATGTATGTAATTCCATTCTCAATGGGACCAGTGGGCTCTCCATTATCCAAGATTGGAGTCGAAGTGACAGACTCTCCTTACGTGGTGTACTCAATGCGCGTCATGACTAGAATGGGTAAGAACGATTGCTTATTAACATTTATAAGTTTAGTTAATATCTACTTTATTTAATCTATGACTAAGCTTAGTTATGAATATGAAAGTGGGTTTGTCTGAATGTTTATCCTTCAAACTTGGACTTTGACGGTTGGTTAAAATTTGACATAGAAGTCGATTTTGCGTGGAGATTTTGTGATGAGAACTTCGAATAATTTTTATAACGATAACTATGAAGTTTGGAGGGAAAGTGAAAGTTAATTAATTCGCGTGACAGTAATTAGTTTTCATATCTTCATTTTAATGAATTTCAATTTACCAAATCAACATTTGATTCTATAATTATGAGATCCAACTGTTATCAAACTTCGAAAATAAAAACAGTTAACAATGCACTCAACGCAAGCCCCATTGTCGACTTCACAGGTACACCAGTTTTGGACCTGCTACGCAAAGACGAACAGTTTGTCCGCTGTTTACATTCTGTTGGCAAGTCGGGAGGAATTCCAGGCTGGCCGTGCGATCCTCCCAGAACAATTATCTTACACAAGCCTAGTGATAATGAGATCGTCAGTTATGGTGAGTTATTTCTCCCGCGATATACATTTTTGTCGTTTAGAAACGTTGTACATTTTATATAACATAAAACTATAACAAGACTATAATAAATTAGAAATTTTAAAAAAGCCAATGGTCAGCAAACGGATGAAAAAATTTTCTTAAATCATAGCTAAGAACACTTTCGATCAAATCGCATTTCAAACAAAAAAAAAACTAAATTTAAATCGGTTCATTCGTTCGGGAGCTACGAGGCCACAGACAGCCACACAGATACACACGTTAAACATAAAACGTATATTACCCGTCTTTTTCGTCGGGGGTTAAAAACGAAATCCATGTCGGTCAATTTAAAAATGTTTTCGTAACAGTTTTGTACATTATGGAAGATGGGTGAATCATATAAGTACGAATAAATGTCCGATTTTTTTTTTAATTAAACTTTATTTGACAATGAGACGTGAGACATAGTGTAACGTTCTGTACAGTATGGAAGATGAATGAATCATAATATGCGATTTAACATTCTTTTTTTTTTATATATATATTAAACTTTTTTTGAGAGTTAGACGTAGGACGTATAGCCTAACATTCTGTACAGTGTTCGATTTTTTACAATTAAACTTTTATTGAAAATGAGACGTGGGACATATAGCCTAACGTTCTGTACTGTATAGAAGATCAATAAATCATAATATGCGAATTATCATTCGATTTTTTTAAATTAAACTTTTTTTGAAAATTAGACGTGAGCCATATAGCCTAACGTTCTGTACAGTATGGAAGATGAATGAATTACATGCTTATTAACATTCAATTTTTTTTTAATAAACTTTCTTATTTAAATGTGTCGTGGGTCATATTATAGCGTAACATTCTGTACGGTATGGAAATCATAATATGCGAATTATCATTCGATTTTTTTAAACTTTCCGTAAAATTCGACTACGTACCGACCGACGAAAAAGAAACTAAAAACCATAAAACAATGTTCACAAAATAGCTTCTGCATCTTCGTCTATTTTTCTACACTTACTTTGGATTTTTTTTTAAATTTAGAATATATTTAATCCATTGAGATATATATATATATATATATATATATATATATATATATATATATATATATAAAGCGTATAATAAAAAAAAATCATAAAAAACAATTCACAACTGGCGAAGATATTGCGTAACATAAATAAACAAATATTAGTAACCTTCATTTGTCATACATTGCAGCCTATCAAAGTCCACCGCTGATAGGAGTACTAGGCCTTCCTCATAGATTGCTTCATAGGAGATAACACTAGTAATTAAAAGTTTTTTAAATCATCAATTATAAATTATTCATTGGTTAAAATAAACATAAACTGATGTTATCAGGAAGAGGCTGCTGCCAATCTCTGTTTCAGTTGCACTCTGTCGCCTGTTACGACACCCACGAGATGATTTAGGGTAGTGGACTCTCTTACTCCGCCACTAGGTGATCTAAATATGTTGAACCCAAATTGTGCCCAAGATATACATATTTATATTGCAGAAAAGGAATTGTACATTTAATAAGACGTAATAAAATGCAATTTTAGGAAGCGGTTACGGTGGCAACAGCTTACTGGGGAAAAAATGTTTCGCGCTGCGTCTAGGTTCAGTGCTGGCCCGTAAAGAAGGTTGGCTCGCGGAGCATATGCTGGTAAGTATATTCTTTATTCATTAATTACCTCGTAAGAGTCCATATATATGGATATACTGGACATGGGCCCCTCCCATTGTAGACAGGAATCGTCACGCTTGGCAGGTGAATTGACGATTACAGTCTATTAAAGTCTACTGCTGAATAGAGGGGGGGGGGGGGGGGGTAGTAATAGTAATAGTAGTTGCAACGCTTGCCAAGTGGATTAGCAACCGCATTTTTTTTATTTTTAGCCGTTTTCAGGAAGACACTGCTGCCCATCTCCTTATTTGTTTCTTCTTAGGACACCCACGGGATAATATGGGGTAGTGGATATTCTTACACCGACATTACACGGTAGATATGATAAGATATGGTAAGTATACAACAATTGAAAGTTCTATGTTTTTTTTCTACATTATCAGCGCGTAAAAGTTCACATCTGGACATAAGCCTCTTCCGTTGGGGATGGTTTGGCTTCGCCACGTTTCCTATAGGTTAGGCAATCGCAGCACTAGAAGTCTTCAATTTTTGTCTCATACCTCCAGCCGTAAACTATTTACGGACTGGTTAGAAGAAAATATAATAGGTAAATTCCTATGGTATAATCCCGAATATAAGGTTTCTTTTTGTCCATAGATCTTGGGTATCACAGATCCAAAAGGACGTAAGCGCTATATTGCGGCCGCTTTCCCTTCGGCTTGTGGAAAGACCAACCTGGCCATGATGACGCCCACATTACCAGGCTACAAAATAGAGTGTGTTGGAGACGACATTGCATGGATGAAGTTTGACAAGAACGGTGTCCTCAGAGCTATTAACCCAGAGAACGGGTTCTTTGGAGTTGCTCCCGGTGAGTACTGAGTCTTAAAAACTTTTTATTAAAACTTCTTCGTCAGCCCATAAAATTGCGCTGCTGGACATGTTTTTCCGTCTCCGTCCGTTCGAATCCGTCTTAATAGTCGCGTATGTGAGGCGGATTGGCATCGCAATCCCAGAAGATTGACAAAATATTTCAGTACAAATAAGGTTATATTCCATAACTTTTTAATCTAAACGATATGAGATGTTTTAAAATGAAATAAGCAAAATAAAATAATAAAAACTGAATGAAGATTATATGGCAATAAACCATACAAAACTATATTAAAATGAAGAAAACTAAGTTAGCTATTTTTACTTATTATAGCAACATGCCATGTAATAGGGATGTAAGAGAATCAGCAATCCCATATCATCCTGTGTCATAAGAGACGACAGAGAAAAACAAGAGATGAGCAGCAGCATCTAACATCTTCTTGATAACAACTCAATAATACTGCGATAGTAAGAGCGGCAACAGCTATAAAACAGCGTAACTTACTACAAATTCAGCGTAACACCCTACACATTCAACGTAATCCATTTAAAATTTAACCATACCGTAATATGTACCGGTCACAATCACACTTGTAGTGTAACGTGATGAGCGTTATACATATACACCGTATTAATTCTAAAATAAATTAAGTATGCAAACCAACAGCAACACCGTTTATCACAATGTAACACTGGTCAACTTCACAAGAACACGACAACGGATTGATTGAATAACTTTAACGGAATCTCGCAGCACGTCGTTGCTTCCTACTTACTTTATAGTTCCAGCTAAAACGGACTTAAAAGTCCTAAAAAACAAAATATCTTCTACAGGAACCTCTATTGAAACAAACCCGATAGCGATGGCTTCTATCTTCCGCGACACAGTGTTCACTAACGTGGCAGAAACGAGCGATGGCGGTGTGTGGTGGGAGGGCATGGGGAAAGCTCCCGAGAGTTTAATAGACTGGAAGGGTCAGCCTTGGGACCCTAGCAAGAAGACCTTTGCTGCCCATCCTAATTCACGGTAAGACTCGCTTGGTTTTTATAATCATTTTGTGTTTTGAGATATCTTTATTCTCATAAGTATATACTACATTTACTTACATGATAATAGTTTTAAAAAAATAAAAATTTATTGGGAAATATTCCACAAGCTAAATAATTAAATAATTATTTTTATCAAATGTATTGACGGTAATAACTTAAATTATTTGTTCGATACTCGGAATGGAATACAAGTTAACATGTTACAAAGTGTGTGAAATGTGTTCATTATAATATGATACTAGTAGATTAACAACACTATTGTAGTCAAAGACGTATTAAAAAAAAATCTTAGATCGTAGTGGGTTTGTTTAGCCTGAGGGATAGTTGTTAAGTGAGTGTATGTGTAAATAAATAAATGATGTTTGAGTTGTACTTTTTTAAAAGATTTGATTTTCTTATATTTCTTGGCAATTTATAGTACCACTCGGCTGCTCCAAAAATAATACGTTTTTTCGCATGCGAGAAAAAACAATATTTTTGATCTGTACAAATAAATAAAATTGAAGTGTCTGTTTGTAATGTCAAAATAACTTTTTACTAAATTCATATGAAAGTATATATATAACAAATATATACTTATAACAAAAATACAATTTTTAAAATTTTTGTTTGTCTGTCTGTTTGTTCTGGCTAATCTCCGAAACAGCTAGATTGGTTGCGACGGGACTTTCATTGGCAGATAGCTAATGTTATAAGGAGTAACTTAGCCTACTTTTCTTTTAGAAAAATATTTAGGGTTCCGCATAAAAAAAAACAAATTACACGCGGGCAAAGTCGCAGGATACAGCTAGTTATTTATAAAAGCAGTAAAAAGGCATTTGTATTATACACAAAATAATAAATATCCATCCCTAGTGATGATCTATTAAGAGATGCAGAACGATGGATGCAAATGAATGGGTTGGAGACGTGCGATAGGCTATAATGATTGATGATAGTAAAGGTACATACAGGTGAAGCTAATGAGGTTTTGTGTTCGTGCGCGGTAGATTCTGCACGCCGGCGGAGAATTGTCCGATAATCGACAGCGAGTGGGAGAGCGGCGCGGGCGTGCCGATCTCGGCGCTGCTGCTGGGCGGGCGGCGGCCGGCCGGCGTGCCGCTGCTGCTGGAGGCGCGCGCCTGGCAGCACGGAGTGTTCCTGGGCGCCGCCATGCGCTCCGAGGCCACGGCCGCTGCAGAGCACAGCGTAACTATTATTCTTATCAAACATACTCGGAATACTCATACAACACGTGTATACATATTGGATGTAAACTACATTAGTGCTTTATTTACATAGATACCTACAATCACACTGTAGCTATATTTTGGTTGTAGCGGAAATAGTTCCGCACCAATGGTGAAGCACCAAGCTCTCACAAAATAACAGCGTAAAATAGCAGCTTGATGCTGCTGTATTTCGTATAGTGAGTGTATAAAACCGAAGACCTTTTTTACTGGAAACGAAGCATTCAATCTTAATCTTCAGAGGTGACAATGCATCTGCATTTTGATTCTTAATTGAGGATAAATGTAGATGTCTTTGGACCACAGTATCTACTTACCATCAGATGGACTGTGTGCTCGTTTGTTGTTGCGTATATTGCATCCTTATTCCATAAAAAAAGGTCCACTGTGGGAAAACTCCTTTACTGCCTCGGAACTTGGACTCTTACCTATTTCTACCGCTGAATAACACTGCATGCACTACTATGTTCCAGTCATAGTATTCTATCTTAGTCTCAGAGGTGACAACACACGTGTAGTCATCTTTGTTTAAAATTGACTGCAGAAGTTTATGGACTGCAATAGCCACTTATCATCAAGTAAACTGTATGTCTGACGACTGGCCTCTCCAGTTCTAGATATGATTTTAAATGGTTATGTGGTAAAAATTAAAAGTCCCATTTTCCTCAAATTTACATTTAATCCTATTTATTTTCTGAACAAAAATAATGATTTTCTACAATCGTTAACGCTAATAGAAAACTATAAAACAGTCAACGAAAGTATGCAATCCTGACGCCTGTCAGACTAGTAATGGGAAATAATTAACACTATTATTTACTTTTTAATTGACTCAATAAAAAATTTACCTAAGTTTCATTATACCTACTTGTTTGTCTGAATTTTTTTTATACGATAGGGTGACAAACGAGCACACATTCCACCTGATGGTAAGTGGTTGCTGTAGCCCATAGACATTTACATCTATCCTCAATAAAGACTCAAGATGCAGATGCGTTGTCACCCGTGAGGACTAAGATGGAATGCCTCGTTTCCAGTAAAAAGGGTCTCCGGTTCTCTACACTCACCATACGAAACACAGCAGCGTTAAGCTGCTATTTTACGCTGGTTTTCTGTGAGAGCGTGGTCCTTCCCCGGTCGAGCCAACCCATTCGTACTACAACTATACTACTAATATAGTTGCAGCATGGCTCTACCACGTAAAAAATTTCTAATTTCTGAATGTAACTAAAGTAATAAAGAAATATCTACTAAAAAAAACAATATCTTGAAAAAGAGTTACGACTGGCAAACAAACAAATTTAATTCGATTCCGATTCGCTTGAGGAGGTTCTGTCTTCGTCATCATCTTCACCTACATGTATAATTATAACATTATCAATGATAGTATCAATTTTGATATCTCTGTCCAATGTTTTAGAAAATAAGATTTTTCGTTTTTTCGCCGACCTTCGTCTCTTTTGCAACTTTCCCGCAGGCTTCTTTTAATAGGCTCATCATCTTTTTTTTGTGCGAAATAGCGGAGAAGTGTTGTGGTGGGCTGCGTAACCTTGATAGCTGTCTAACATTAATAGTTTTTATTAGCATTAACGATTCAATTCAAATATCAAATCAATTTCAATAAAATGAGATTGTAGTTGAAACCATTAGCCCGTAATAATCTACTGCTGGAGGATTTGCCATAGGGAACTCTTGGCGGATTTATTGTTGACCGCAGTACCAGACGTCTCGAACCTTTGGACGCTGTTTGTCGTCCCCGGTCTGGGCTTTTGGCTCTTGGAAGCGTTGCATTTTTTTAAAGAAAAAGGGTGACAAGTAAGAACACAGTCCACTTGGTGGTAACTGGACGCTATGGCCCGTAGATATCTAGATCTATCTACCCCATAATGAATCAAAATGCATATCCGTTGTCACGCCTGAGTTCTAAAATGGAATGCCTCGTTTCCAGTAAAAAGGATCTTCGGTCCTGTACACTCACTATACGAAACACAGCAGTATTTTATTTGACGCTGGTAGTCTGTGAGAGCGTGGTCCTTCCCCGGTCGAGCTGATCCATTGATGGTTCAATCGTAATACAACTGCAGCGAGACTCTACCACGTATAATATGCGAATAATATACGAAACACGGCAGCTTTTTTTTTATAAAATAAGGATGACAATCAAGCACACAGCCCACCTGATGATAAGTGGTTGCTGTGGCCCATAGACTATCCTCGAATAATTGGTATTCTGTGAGAGCGTGGTTCTTCTTCGGTCGAGGCGATGCATTCATGCTTCAACCATAATATAGCTGCAGCGTAGCTCTACCACGTATAATACTTGTATACCACGTATTTCCTATAATCGCTTGTTGCGACACCCACAGGACTGAATGGGATATTGGACTATCTTACGCCGCCATAACAAGGCTTGTAATTTTTCAGTTATACAATTATAAAATTCAGTGGTAATCAACTCGCGTTAAGTTAAACTTTAATGTACCTACAGGGTAAAGTGGTGATGCACGATCCGTTCGCGATGCGGCCATTCTTCGGTTACAACTTCGGTGATTACTTGAAGCACTGGTTGTCTATGCCGCAGCCTGGTCGCAAAATGCCCAAGATATTCCACGTCAACTGGTTCCGCAAAGACTCTCAGGTAATTCATTCATGCTAATTTAATTAAGCTTAGTAAGTCTTCAAATGATGCAATTTTAAATCAGATTTCAATTATGTATGAAAAATTTAAAGGAACTCACTAAGTAACGCAATGTTATATACATTGCGTAAAATAGCAGCTTAATGCAGCTGTTTCGTATGGTGAGTGTAAATAACCGCAGACGTTTTCTACTGGAAACGAAGCATTCCTTTTTAGTCCTCAGGGGTGAAAACGCATCTGCATTTTTATTCTTAATCGAGGATAAATATAGATGTCTATAGGCCACAGGCCTCTATATTTATCATTCCATCTTAGTCCTCACGCGTGACAACGCATCTGCTATTGATTCTTTATTGGGGATAGATGTATATGTCTATGGGTCACAGCAACCACTTACCATCAGGTGCACTGTGTGCTCGTTTGCCACCCATATTCTATAAAAAATTATAATTTCCAGGGTAAATTCTTATGGCCCGGATTCGGCGAGAACTGTCGTGTGCTAGAGTGGGTGCTCCGACGTTGCGACGATGAACCATGCCATATGGAGACTCCCTTGGGCTTCGTGCCTAAGCCCGGCGAACTTAACATCGACAACCTTGGCGATATCAACATGAAAGAGCTGTTCAGCATCCCTAAAGACTTCTGGTTGCAAGAGGTGAGTTTATCAGTCAATTTTTTTTTTTGTAGTAGCATTACATTCAGAATCTTTCCCAATTATATACTTACTGAATTTTATTGTAAAGATGTAATTAGGAGGGTTTTAATGATAAAAATAAGTAATTAAAACATTATTTGGACGTAGTTACGCAAAAAAGCATCCAATCCGAATTTCTGTGTGAATCCAAATGTTGAGGTTAAAAATAATGTTTGTGGTCTACAATATGTGATGCAACAATTTTAGCGAAAGTAACACAAATAAGAAGTGTCACTTCCAATATCATAATTTCAAATTATCATCTTTTTTTGCGGGTTGGATTCTTTTTGCATAACCACGTCCATTTATAAAGTTATACTTAAAATAATTAAAAACTAGCAGACTTAACAATGTTTGTTTCTCTAGGCCGATGCAATTGAAAAATACTTCAAGGAAGAAGTTGGAGAGGACTTACCGAACGAAATGTGGGAAGAATTGAACACATTAAGAACAAACATACAAAACTCATAGACTATAACCAAAGACAACAGGTTTAAATTAACAAGGAATATATATTTTAATATTAATTTTGTACATAAATATATTATATAAAATTCATTCCAATGTAATGTTAGTATTAGGAATTATTTTATTTTAAGAAACAGTTTTAATTTAAGAACACTTATCCCATCTATAAACTTCGAAAGTTGAAATTACAAAATTCAGATCAAAATTGAGACATATCTAATGTCACAAATTAAAATACAATTTTGACAACATTACGATAACGTATTAGAACATACGAAGGCTGTGTTAGTTAGGTAATTGTGTAGATATAAATTTTATAAAATAAATTATTTTTGTAACAGAAAAAATATAAAATATATAATTTTACGTATTATGTCATTGTTTTTTTTTTTAATTTACAAATAACCCATAATATCATCATCGTCATCATCATTACAGCACGTCACAAGTCTATTGTTGAACAATGGCCTCACCCCATAGACCGCCTAGAAACGCCACAAAGCACGGTCCTGAGTGACCTGTATCGATCAATTTCTTGCACCTCTTACCACATCATCACTCGCTCTTGGAAGGCTACCCACTAGGTACTCAGCTTATAGATACGAGACGGTCACTCGAGAATCTTTCTTCCCTATCGGTTGTCGGTTCTTCGAGCTATATGGTCAACCAATTTCAGTTAATCTGGTATCACCAGACCCAAAATAAGTACGCATAAAATATTTTTAGTTTTAATATGATTTGAAAATATTTATCTCCAAATGAAAAGAAAAGACACAAGGGTTACGTACTAACTATTATCTAATCTGTGATAAGGGGAATAAAAATCTACCTCAAAAATCCCGTATCTGATAAAATTCACTGAGATAATTAAATTCTAGAAAAATCAAGTAAACGTCGATCGACCCAAGACCACATCAATGTGCATTTTTTATATAGCATGCGACTAATATAATAGTAAAGGGTAGCATATAATTATAAGAAGTATGATGGCTACCTGATGGCAAGTTAGTCACTTGCCATCAGATATGCGAGTTTAAACCTAGTTTACAACGTTGCTAATGTTCATAATACTTTGCACGCTTCGGATGCGACCTTCGTTAAAATAGCCTACCGATTGTTTCTGCACGTATTAAATTAAAATGCACCTTACGTCCGCGTGGTTAGCCCGTTCCTACTGTAGGGTTATGTGTGAGAAAACAAATTGAAACTTTTGATATTAGTTGCAATCATGCCGACTGACGCGTGACGGCTATTTAGAGAGAAGTAAAATTTATTTTTCCCATCTAAAGACGCTTGCAGACTCTTGAAATGTGCCTGTAAGTAACGGGTGAGCTCGTCGCAAGTGCAAGTTTTGACGCTCCTTTGTTCGGTGTCGGTATTTTGGTGCGAATCAAAGGGCGCCTATATTGGCTTGCGACAAGTGTCAATATTACATGAATATTAGATGGGTCAAAATATTAACACAGTTATAATATTGCATGCCTTAAGCGCAAAGCGCGTAGGTATGTTCTACTAGCGCCTAAAAATCAAGATTCAAACGTTTTGTCGAATAAAATCTTATCTAACAATCATATTGAACATATAAATTATATAAAAAGCACATTCTCAGAAAGATAAACGATTTTTGAAGTTGTAATATTTTTTAAATCTATTAATTGCTATTTTTACATAAAAAAGTGATTTAGTGAGTTATGGTGTAGATTTATCAAGTCCGCATGGAGTGGTAAAAACGATAACTTTTGAAAATATCAATTGTTTAACTCAATCTATTTTTAAATCTCTTCATCTATCATGTGGGAAGCCATGGAATGTAAATGAAAGTTTAATTTTGTTTTGTTATAATTAATTTTTTCAGCTGCGAAATCTCGTAATTTTCGGTGTTTTAGCAGCCTTGTATTAATTTATTTTACTAAATACACTTTGCTCTGCCTTACTACGCGCTCGGCCGCCGCCGTGCGTGGATTTCTGTATCGTTTGCTTACAGCAGCGGTAATAGGCAGCAAAAATATCGATCGCTGTAGAAATACAAAATATCCCATACCGGCAGACGAAGTGTAGGGCGTCCCTCCACTAGATGGAGTGACGACCTGGTAAGACATGCAGGAAGTCAATGAATGCAGGTGGTTCGTGACCGTGCTTTTTGGCATTCCTTGGTGGGAGGCCTGTATTCAGCAGTGGACTTGTGAAGGGCTATAATAATGATGATGATGATGATGATACGTCTTGAACTATATGGAGTAATGTGAAGGTGAATGCTACTGGAACTCCTCGAAAAGTAGAACTAGGTGTGCCGAGTGTAGCCTAGTTTTTTTAGTGATGAGACCTTACTTCCGGACTTGATAGAATGACCTGAAGGTGTACTTCGGTGAATGCTACTGGAACTTCTCGAAGAGTAGAACTAGGTGTCCCAAGTTTGGGCTCTTCTTGTTAATTATGAATAGACCTTACCTCCGGACTTGATGGAGTGACTTGAAGGTGTACTTAGGTGACTACTACTGGAACTCTTTGACGAATAGAAGCAACAGAAACTAGCGTCAAAGGTGAATTGCTAATCTACTTGTCAGTGTGATGAAAACTGCTAATCCATCCTACACTAAAAGGCCCACGTCTTGCACGGTGGGCCACGAATTAGTTTACATCATAATTTAATTTCCCCACGCGGGTCACCCAGCAAGGTTCGGGGAGCAATAAAAGGGCTACCTCATTGCTCGGAAATTTAGTCGCAAAGGATTCATTTTCATTGATTTCTTTTACGTAAAGCAATTTTATTTGAACAATTTTTCGTTTTTTTTTTGTTTATGTAACTTATACTGTTTTTCTTTATATTTTTTAATGTTAACAAATTCATGGCCCACCCTATATGGCAGTCTCATGCGTCATACTTACGGATGCTTATTGGAGTTGGTCTGCTCAGGTTTACTATGCACTGATATATTTGGTCGACATAAAAACTCAGGAGGTTCACAATTCGACAGTGTTTTTCATTGTGTGCCTTACGGGATATTTTTGCTAATTGTAAATGCTCTCGAGATAGAATTTCGGCAACAGCGGCCAGTCTCAACGAAGACTAGCCATAGCCATCTACGCAGGACAGAATAGTGCACGAATGTGCGCATAAGCACGGGTCTCTACTCCCTCACGTCCATAATCCTTCCTGTATATTGGTACTCTGAGCACATTCCGACGAGACGGCAATCCGACACGACACGACGGGGAGAAGTCGTTATGTGAAAATTATTTTATTCTTCTTCTTTCTCAGAAGTCCATTTTTGCTTTGTTTTTTAAATTTTGCTTTTTAGTGTTACCGATGGGTCTATTATTTTTCATTTTATATAAACTATGCTATGTAGTATTCATCTTAAAAATTACAAAAAAGAGGATGTCTGCGGAGTTTCTAACGTTATTTCTTGTCCTGTAAAAGTAACTTCATATCGTATCGGTAGTTGATTTGGAAAAACAAAAGAATGTTTGACGACGAAATTTTAATCCCTTATATCGAAGAAATAAATATATTTCGGTTCATTATATTCGGCACATGTGAAAAAAAAAATGCTAAAATTAAGTTTAAGCGGAGAATTTATTTCATATGCTTTGCAGAAAAAACTCTGACACCGTTTTGGGTCGACGCTCGAGCATATTTTGTTAGTAATGCATTCACGTTTAGTTTCTCGGTTGCATAAGATCTGAAAAGATTAGATAATTAAGATAAACGTTGTACATTAGCAAATAGTTTTCTTAGTTACATCAAAGGCATTCTTACTCTATGTAAGGTGATATTTCGTCTACAGTCCATTTCGCTTTGGTCCGAAACAAGATTTTGAATCTTTCGTTTATATCGTCCGGAAGATCGCTCTCGGAAAAGCCCCACACAACTTGGGGCGTGCTACTTTTATCCACGATAGCTATCCCAGATAATAAAGATTCCTGCAATAAAATAATTTAACACATTTTTGAATCGCACAACAAGAATGTATGTAAGTGGCTATGGACAAATTCATATTTGATACCGACAAATACTAGTATTACCAATTTGGTTAAAATAAAACTTCGCAAAAAGCCACAAAAATTATGCCGGCTGATTGCATCACAATAATTGTCTTATTATACAAGACTTGTGTATTGTGTGTGTATTTTCAATTATAATATACGTAAGTCGAAATATATATTATACAAACTACATGCTGAGTTTCTTATTATTGTCTTGAAATTTTAGTTGTTGAAATCAGCCTCAAGACATCTTGTATGTAATTGATGTTTCTTACTGAATATGAAGACTTGAAGGTTGACGTTCTCCAAACGCCAACCTTACTTGCACTGTGTGCAGCCTATGTACTATTGAACGACATTTTGGCAACTGAGAAATGGCATTCTGAAGTAAATCCTAAACCTGATAATCCTCATTATAGCCTGCTGATTGGAAACAGATTAACACTTTCTGTCTGCTCAGCGAGGTTACTATGGCAATATTTTTCAAGATGTCTAGCTATTAAAATAATGTTATAAGAACTACGCCTAAAAAACTTACGTCAGTGGTCATTCCTTCTGGCACTGAATCTCGCCACGCCTGCAAAAACTCTGCATAGTTAAATTTTCCAGCACTCTTCAACAATACTCTCGCTAAAAATCTACATACTTTATCTTGTTTGTACTGATAATACTGTACATTTTCTTCTTTATATGTTTCAATGGTGTAAAATTTAAATAAGGCTTCTAACACAGCTACAGGTACAAGATCTTTTAAACTATCAAAGGTTATTTGTTTCGATATCCTATTCAAAGGCCATGAATTCTCTTCTATCAGATCTAACATGTACGAAAGAACTCTAAATTCGTAATCAAAATCAAGCAATCGATAATGCTCATTAATTTTCACCGCCTGTATTTTTTCAAGTTCCATGTCTATTTCTGCTCGAGATGCCTGTACCTGTTCAAAAATTGCATCATAATCAAGAAGCTTAGATTTGTCAACCGCATATTCCAGCTCTGGACCTTGATATAAGGTAGCTTCTAGAAGTTTCCGTAATTTCGATAAACGAGGTTTACATGGTTTTAATTCATAATAAGTGAAAAACGAATTAACAACATCTTTGAATTCTATCTTTCTGGGCTCTCTCGTTCCGTCATCTGAATCATTTGATTTATTTAGACTGTTATTTGACTTATCGAATGATGTGTCTGAATCACCTTCCATTGAATTATTACTTAATACTTCGTCTCCACCTGTCGATGCCGCGTACAGCAAATCAGGAACTAACAAAAGACTGTTGGAAGTTTCGGCTTCCTTAACATCGTATGTTTTATTTTCCGTGCACATAACAACATTTTCGTCTGGGTCTCCTATTAACAAAGAAACATAGTCGTAATTACAGCCTATATATATTCCACTGTTATGAACAGCCTCCCCCCATTTCCGAGAGTATTATGGAGTAATTAGTCCGCCGCGCTGCTTCGAGTACATGTCGGCCGGATTTTACAAAATGTTCTTGAAACATTTTCATTTATATTTTGGACTTTAGATACCTAGGTTTTCTTACAATCATTTCTTAAACCATCACGTGATAAATGAAAACTTCAATTAACAACTGAATTGGCGTCGACTGGGATCGAAGTCAGGTTGCTCGCGTACTTTGAAATTTACAGAAAGCCCTTGAACTACTACGATTTAAAACAAATATTTATGTTTTGCAATTCTCTAAATGAAATCTAGAAGAAAATAAGTAATTAATATAGAAACATCTAAGCGTGAGTATTGTTAAATAAAAAGATAACAAAGTGTCCAAACAAATTTCGGGAAACTGTTTTGGAATTGCAAGAGTTGCAATTAAAACAAACCCCTTTCGCTTTTTGAGAAGCCAAAAAGTTAATAAGGGGATAAAAATAAGACCGCAGGTGTACACATGTATATACAAAGTACAAATTTAAAACTACATATATACATTTTTCGCAGCATATACTCGTGTACATGCAGCCAGAAACAACGTCCTGCTGTTGGCACAGGTCTTCTCTTATTTGAGAACGGGTCCTAAAGGACAAAGAAATGTTCACTGCACTGCTTCATTGCGGCGTTGTGGTGTTATCTGAATAGTGGTGGACTTCACATGTCTTGAAATTGCAATTAACAATTTTAGTGATGCCTTTCACGAATCTTTTGACGCCCACGGCTAGAGAGCAGTGGTAACTAGGGGCTAAGCATTCGCTGTAAATTTCACAGTACTTACGCAAGTAATCCCTGCCGGCACCAATGAAATAGTATACGGTACGGTTACCTTTAAATACCAATCTGTTTCCAGCTTCAATTTCCTTAAGTAAATTTTCGTCCAGCTGCATTAATCTCAAATTATCATTTCTACCACCATCATGTGGGAACATCAAAACTTGTGTAATGTCAGTTAGTTCTGATTCATGCAACTTGGCGATTTTTATAACTTTCCTGACATCCTCTGGAGTTCTTTGGTTGCTGGAAATATAAGATTTTTAAGAATCAGGAGCTCAATATAGTTATGAGACTAGTTGAAAGTTTATTAGCTATCACGATCCAATGGTGTGAGATGGACAGACGTGATAGTGAGATATATAACTATGCATCCATACGCACGTAATAAGTCTAAGGATGTACAGCGGCGGCACAATGACAACAACAATAGTTAAAATAACAAAAATTATTTTATACCTAGTTAATTTGTTTTAATTAATCAGCCAATAGAGCAACACGGGCCACCGGCGCGGCGGATCGGAGGGGAGCAGCCATAAGCAGTCTTTCCCCTCTGTCAAAGTATAAGTGCACGCGATCCTATGCGTACATTAAAAATAGTTGCAGCCGCACTACGCAGTAGACTAAATCTAGTTGAGCGGCTGAATTCACGTCTTACAAAAATGCCAAATTGTTGAGTTATTTGCTGCAAGAAGAGATCTGCCACGTCAAATTTACTAAAAGATGGCGTTATCTTTCATAAATGTATAAGTAATTTTAATAAAATTATTGCTATTTACTTCTTTTTAAACTTAAAAATTACAATAATGACGGTCGTGTTGTTTCGAATTTGTTTACCAACACAGGTCGGGCGCCCTCACACAATATGCAGATCGGTCGTGCGACTAATCAGAGCTTGTATCCAAGGTTGTCGCTGTCACTGAGCGATACTGTTATAATGTATCTATATGTGTGTGAAATTGTTAGTTTACTGTTTTTTTTTTTTAGTTAGTTAATTGTTATGTGTAAGTTTTGTAGTAACACAAACAATTGTTTTTTGTGTGTGCAGATTTCCCCCAGCAAAAAATGGTAGACAGTTCTAAAAAATAATATATAGAAATATTATTTTTTCTCATATATGCATTTCTGTCATTCCAAACATCCATCCATTACAGCCTATAAACGTACACTGCCGAACATAGGCGCTCTATGGGGAGATATATTGCCTCACATGGGGATTTTGCCATAGTTGACACGCTTGGCGAGCGGGTTGTCAACCGCAGTTTTTTTATTATTTTGGGTTGTTATCAGGAAGATGCTGCCGCGAATCATCTGTTTCAATTTAACTCTGTACGCCTCTTACGACACCCACGGGACAATATGGGGTAGTGGATATTAAACCGCCACTACACGGCATTGTCATTGATGACATTGTAATTGACTGATTTGTGATTGATGGGTTGAAAATCTTAACCCATGAGTAATTCGATAATCGACAAAAGAAGAAATATAGAAGGAATTGCAATTAAACTATTAAAAACTTATTGAGAAATAAATTTATTATATTTTATTTTTATTCGTTAGAAACAACGGTAATTAGGTTGAAAAGTATTTTTCATTAAATAAAACTAACTTTTACGGATTTTATCGCGTTTAATTGTGACTTTTTAATTCCAGACGTTTCGGGTGCTTTGCAGCACCCATGGTCACGGTGTGGAATATGACATCGTTCAAATGCTCGCCTTGGCTTCTAACAGTGGCACGGATCCAAGTGGTCCAATTTTCAATGACTCTTCTGCATAGATCCGGCTGTATTTGAGCAATGGCCTGTGTTATGTTCACCTATAGGGCATCGGTCGATTGTGGTTTGTTTGCATAGACCTGCGGCTTCAAGAAACCCCACAAGAAAAAGTCTAGCGTGGTCAAATGCTAGCATGACCTTGGTGGTCAATTCACATCACCACTGCGAGTTAAGCTTACCCTTAAATAGCTAATGGAGAATGTCAATCGTGGCGTGCGCTGTGTGGCACGTAGCGCCATCCTGCTGGAACCACATGTCATCTATTTCCATATGGTTCAAATTAGACTGGTTTTCATCTGGTACTGGTTATCATCGTTCTGTAGTGCTCACCGTTGACGGAGACCGTCTCAATAGCATCGTTTTCGAAAAAATACGGACCAATGACACCGCCGGCCTAAAATCCACACCAAACGATAACTTTTTGAGGATCCATTATCACCTGGTGAACCTCGCGTGGGTTGGTGTCGTCCCATATACGGCAATTCTGCTTGTTAACTCAGCCATTCATCCAAAAATGCGCCTCGTCGCTAAAGATGTATTTCGGCCAAAATTGGGGTCCTCTTCCAAACGATTCGAAGTCCAGTTAGAGAACAAACAGCGTTGTCTATGGTCATGAACTTCGAGCTTCTGAGTCAGTTGGATCTTGTATAGGTGTAGGCCTCAATTCCGACGCAAAATTCGCCAAGTTGAGGTCGGCGAAAGGCTGAGTTCTTGTGCACGGCGAGGAATCTACTGCCTCGGGTTCTGCTGTATACTTTCACGAAGCGTGACGATGTTCTCGGCCGATCTTGCGTTCTTTGAACGTACTGATTTTGGCTGATTGTTTACCGAACCGGACATTTCAAATTTGGCCACCAAACGTTGAAGAGTAGACTGTGAAGGGCCACCACGTCTACCGTAAAATGAGCGCAATGCGCGCAACGTTTGCACTACGAACACTCATTTTGATAATAAAGTTATACCATTTAAACGTGCTGTTCCATCGTGTAAATTACCATGGAGATTTGGCATAAGTAACTAAATAATAAACAAAACATTTGATAAGTGGCACCAAAACAGAATGGCCGCCACAGGCCACCAAAATCTACCCGCGGCAATTGAAAAGCTCTTTATACTCTTATAAAGCACAGGGTCAGTAAAAAGCGCCAGTTCTGGCGCCAAGAACTGACTCCGACTGTTTACATGCAGTCAGTAGTCGTGGTAAATTCTTCAGGGTGTACGCACTTTATTGAAGTCACTGGGCAAAAATGAATTCACGGGAACGGCAGAATTAACAACGATTGAAAGATTTTTATTGAGAAAATGTTCTTATCTACTGTTGAAAGATTTGACGGAAATGTTAGGACAAGAAATATTTAAAAAGAAACGACTTTGGATAAGAAAATGGAGACGACAGATAGGAAACTGCTTCTGCTTTGTTGTTGACGTGACGTCACCCTACAATGCAACGCCAGCGACTGACCAAGTACTGACTTGGTCGTTTAGATATTTATTATTATTATATAGATATTAATACCGCTGGCGTGGGTAGCGGAGGGGGGGGAGTGTACTCACTTCAAATTATTCAAGCTGGAATATTGAAGTCAGCACTGGCGCGACAGCGCTGTACTGACTCCAAATCAATTTACACTATGTTAGTATCGCGTCAACGCTGACTTGCCTGGACTTTAGAGCCAGTTACTAACTCTGTGTAAATCAGCTATCAGTCTCCGGCAGTTGCCGTTGTTTCGTTTCGTGCCTCGGAAAATATATATAGCCGTTGGTCCTGCGCCTGATCTTTCTCCAGTCACCTCGGATTACCGTCCCATCAGACATTAAGTGTGAGGGAATAGAGTGCACCTGTGGAGTGCACCTGTGCACTCTATTCCCTCACAATCGTGTATTTATTAATCCTATTCTGCACAGATGGTCAGTATCCGTGACGAAAATTTGTTCTGAAAGGACATTTGCACAGATTACTATGATGCCTCGGAACATTGGACATTTGTAACGACTATAAACTATGACTGCGGTTTTATTGATTATGAACCTTTTTTTAATTAATAAAATTGATTAGTTTCAATTTAAATAATTATCAACTTAAAAAAAATATTACCATTTCTTTGTTTTAGGCGTTTGAGTGAGGCGTGAGGCAAAATTAAGGAGACGGTCAGTATAAATTGTTTTGCACATCTGATACTATAAAAAACTTTTCAAAATGTTTAAGGCCTATTAATAAGTTTTTACGCTAGTCCGTCCCCATTTCCCTAGAGGAGTTCAATCAACATTTGTGAGATAACATATATGTTCTGGTGGTTCATTCTTCATGTGTGGCCATAATTTAATTAGAAAGAAAAATTATCAACTTGAAACTTTATTCAAAACTTTAGAAGATTTACCATCCACCATCAAGAACGAAAAGGGCACAATTTTTACAAGGAAAAAGGAATACACACCTTTATATTCATCTCTATTAAGATCAATTGCGATAATTATCTTATAATAAATTTTTTTAAATAACGATATAATATGCTATATTTACCTTTTTTGTAATTGTAATTGGCAATTTTATATGGTTTACAATGCATACATATGTACTCATCCTTGGTACTCACTGACCTCTATATATTATGGGATCAGTATATATCAAAAATATTTACTCTAAGGTTGACAAACAGATGAGATGACAGCTACTTAACTGACACTGACAGTGACAGCAATTTGACAGTTCTCTTTTGTGAAATAAAATTTTTCGATACACGATAATTTCGTTTCGTCGCTTCTGCCATAACTTTCAGTTTACCTTTTACCTAATTAGTGTACAAAACAGAAATGTCTATTTTTAGTGATATATTGCCAATTAATAAAAATGAAGACAAAAAACAGGCTGGTGGTAACCTATCCCCTTACCTAAACTTCGATCCCAATTATATACCAAAAATGCAACCAGAATTCATATATCCTGATGACAGTCATATGGCTTCCACAGCAAGAAGATCAAATGTGGCTCTGCCCATTATTGGAATGTCTTTCATGACTGGTTCAGGTGAGTACAACATGATATAACCTCAAAAATAATTACTAAAGTTTTTACATAACATTTATTTTCCGTTCTATTCAAGACGGTTCTAAACTGTTTTGTCCAGCATAATTAAATTTAAAGTCTTTGCTTCATTTAGTTTGCACTCCTCTCTCAATAATATGTGTAATATTTTTCTAGTGAGATCATAACATTCTTGACACTAGTAGAATCATCATCATCATCATCATTACAGCCCTTCACAAGTCCACTGCTGAACATAGGCCTCCCCCAAAGAATGCCACAAAGCACGGTCCTGAGCCACCTGCATCCATCGACTTCCTGCATGTCTTACCAGGTCGTCACTCCATCTCGTGGGGGGACGCCCTACACTTCGCCTACCGGTACGAGGCTGCCACTCGAGAACCTTTCTTCCCCATCGGTTGTCGGTTCTTCGAGCTATATGGCCGGCCCACTGCCACTTCAGCTTACTAATTCGTTGGGCTATGTCGGTTATTCTGGTTCTACTGCGGATATCCTCATTCCTAAGTTTATCACGCAGAGAAACTCTGAGCATAGCCCTCTCCATAGCTCGCTGAGCGACCTTGAGCTTCCTCATACGGCCAGCAGTGAAGGACCACGTCTCAGTTCCGTAAGTCATCACTGGCAACACGCACTGGTTGTACAATTTCGTTTTAAGGTTTTGAGGTATGTCTGACGAGAAGATGTGTCGTAGCTTCCCGAACGCTGCCCAGCCGAGTTGAATCCGTCGATTGACCTCTCGGTCGAAGTTGGACTTACCTAGTCGGACTATATGTCCCAGGTAAACATACTCGTAAACAACTTCGAGCTTAGTGCTCCCAACAACTACCGGCATAGGTTTAATGTCCATGTCACACCTATGCCGGTAGTTGTTGGGAGTAGAATCAATTGGTAGTTAAACTTTTGATTATACAAATATGATACAAAGACCAGAAATATTGACCCATATGTGAATTCTTTAAAGTCACAGCCTATAAACTTCCCAAAGCTGAGTACAGGCCTGCTCTAATTTCTGAGAGCGTTTTAGGTTTTGTTCGTCACTCTGCCCTAGAATGTTGACTGATTTTACATGTCTTTGAAATCATTGTTTTTAATTTCTCAGACATCCAGTTTTCCACATAATGTTTTCCCTTCACCACCAAAGATAATCAGCGCTTAAAATAGTAATTAATAATTTCATTGGTGCTGGCAGGGATTTAATTAAAATTTTAACAATTTTTTTAAAAATTTTCACATTGCTCAAAACTGTGATGCTAATAAAGCTACAATCAGTGCTTAACCCCTAAGCTACCATGGCTCCATGAGCTATTTCATTTTATTGAAATTGTACTGATAAAAAAGGAAACTAAAAACAAGCAAGTTTACCTGAATTTTATTACCAACATTAAGAATAAAATGGATAATTGGACATAGTGACACAAAAAAGATCCAACCCATTTAGAGCTGTTTAGATAATGGGAACTTTTAAGATATTGGTGTTTGTACTTTTATTGGTTTGCATTAATAAATACTTGCTTTGATTAATTTCTTTTCATTTATTTTTTTTTACTCTATTGAAGTCTACCTCTCAGGATTGCTATGGCATATTTAACTTATTTTTAACTTGAGCTTGGGTGGAATTCTCTGGTTCTGATCACACTATTAGATGGAACCATGGAGAATTGTAATGATATGTTGTATTGAATATTTTGCAATAGCATATTGTATTCTATTATATGTAGAAATACTCCATAAAATACTTAAAAACCATGTTGTATTTACTTAAAATACAAGAAGAAACACAAACATATTACCCATGTAAAAAGGTAACAATCTAAATGTTCCAGCATTGGGTGGAATGGCTGGTTTATATAGAGGATTAAGAGCAACAACCCTTGCGGGACAGACTGGCAAAGTACGAAGAACACAAGTTGTCAACTATATTATGAAACAAGGTAAATTTTTATATTAATTCAATCAGTTCTAATTTATCTTCTCGAGATTCGCAAAATTCCAAAGCCTGCACTTTTTTTCTTCAATATACTCCTTTTTAAAAGATTTTTGCTTAAATTTTATAAAATTTCCATAGTACAGAAATTATTAACTGCATAAATTAAGAAAAATCATCTCTCCCTGATCAAGCCTCTCTCATTGTATGAAAAATTATAACATACAGTTTTAATACTTCTAGTCACTGGTCCGGATATTTCACACCAGATAAAAATATTTCTGGTGTGGTGGTGGCAGAGGCTCTTTCACCCCATTTCACCCAATGGGTGTTGAAAGGAACTACTTCCAACATATGGCGGTATAACCACGTCTAGGGACTTGAAGCAGCATCAACGGATTGAAATGTTTACAATAATTGTCAATCCAAAAAAAATATTTTTTTAATAAATTTTTCCTTATCCAGGTACTAACACAGGTTGCACATTGGGAATCATTGCCTCGTTCTACTCATGTATAGCTCTTGGTGTCACCTGGTTACGTGACAAAGAAGACACATCAAACACCTTTATAGCAGCTGCAACAACTGGCATCATATATAAAAGCACAGCTGGCTTACGTTCAATCGGCCTAGGAGCTGCAGTAGGATTAACTCTAGCCGGAGTCTACACACTAGTCACAGATAATGACAATATATGGAGCAAAGCAAGATATAATAGATTGTGATCACAATAACCGCCTGACACGTTTACGGTAATCATTTAGACAAGCTGTGCCATAATATAATTTGCATATTTAAACTACCTTGATACATGTAAAATCTAAGGAAGTGTATATTCATCCCAGAATCAAACAATTAAATTAGTTTTATTCTTAATAACGATAAATACTTATAGGAGAGAAAAATTATTTTTAATCAGTTAATTTTAACATAATATGTACATATGTTATTAATAATGCAAACATTATGAACAAATTTAACATATTTCCCTTACTTTCTTTCTATTGTTTGGACATGAGTTTGAATAAAACAATTAAATAAATTATAATAATATTAAAAAAAAAATTTTTTATTCATCTGAAGCAGCAGCCAAAATTTAAGTTTGATATAACACTTCATTTAGATTTTATGGTGAAAGAGGCAGTGTGCGAGTGATATTGTGGCAAAGATATTTTATTTTATTACCTTTAGAGTTATGTAAATATATAGACTGTTATTTTTAGTTATGTTAATGCAATTGGCATCAAAGGATTTGTAAAGTGTGAAAGACTTACTCGTGCCATGTCTAACACACTTATTTAGATTATGTGCCTATCTTTAAGATTGTTCTGTTGCTGGTACATGTTGTTCCTGAATCAGCACAGAAGAAGCACAATTATCCATAAGCCTCCAAAATAAAACAAATTATTTGAAAAACTAAAATCTTTAATTTATTTTCCCAATTTCTCAGTGTACATGTAAAATAAGAATATCATGAACCTTGCAATATTGACTGTAAGTAGTTACACATTATTACATTTGTTGAACATATCTAAGTAAATTACACAGAATATCAAGATAAGTTTGTTTATATATTTAAGTTTCATATTTTTACAGACTATACTCTTTTCACGCTAAATATTTTATTAGCCTGTTAGCAATAAAATTTATATAGCTATTGTGTAATTTTATTTAAAGTTAACATTGAAATCAAAGAAGGCTTGCAGTAGTGATGGTACATTGGGACTGCTGGAAAAGTCTAAATTTGTGGGTTCAAATCTGCTATTTGACTACTGTGTAGTGTGTACTATTATGTAAAAGAGTGCAGCTCATATGTTTTTAATATTCACTGTGAACTAAAATCATACACAGCATATAATTTGGCACCAATTACATTGATATATTTTTTTAGAAGACAAAAAACGTCCACTTATGGACACTAACACAGTTATTACAAATTTTGATATAGATAGCTGCAACTGTTTTCAATGAAAAATGATAAAATTATATTGCTAGTATTATTTTTATCATACACAACATGATAACACATTATCTAACAGTATATTAAGATGGATGGACTTTTTGCATACTTTAGGAAGGTTATGTAACATTGAGATTCTATTTGACACTAATTACAAATCTATATTGTAGAAGCAAACAGGAAATATAAAATTCTATTTAGAGTTTAGCAGCTGGATTTGCATCAAATTGGTACTCCTCTGTTTTAATGTACATAAAGTCTTACTATGTTTAACTATGAGTAAGATTTAATATAATATAGATCTCCAAGTGATAGCTTCTCACTTAACCATTCTTTATTAATATTGATACATATTTTATGTAACATCATGAAATGACAATTGATGATCACAGACATCAACAAAAATCCTTTTTAATATGTACAATAGCTAAAGTTACTCTGTATTATTGATTTAGGCAATTTAGAACTTAAAGATGCGAAACTAACCCTAAGTAGTTTCGCATGCAATAGCATGAGCAAAAATAAGTATACATAACATACATACTTTGATGAGCATATTCCTCCCTCTTACATTTACAATCATGCTCTATCAATGCTATCATCACACCCAATATGAAATTGTTTTCTCATCTTTAATGTAATTAATTTCTGCAAAGTACATACCTGCTTCTTTTAATTAATATTAAATTGTTAAAGTAGGCTCTTAAATTATTTTACAACATATATTATGCTACCAGTCAGTACCTAAGTGCAGTATATTTACATGTGATAAGAGACTATTTAAATAGACAACTATACAAATTACCACTTCATATTATAATTTTATCTGATAATAAGTTCATCAAAACAAGGGCGCTTATTTATTAGTAATATCATCAAACTATATTCATACATGTACTATATCAATCTAAATGCATTAATTTGTTTAAGTAGTGAACAAAATGTGAATACATACCATTATATATATTTGTAAAACAGATTTTAAAAATGATATAAAAGCAAATGACTTTTGATTATGCCCATTAAAAGTTCAAAAAATATCTCAGGTAGCATTATATTAAGCTGAAAATATGAATTAATCATAAATGCATACAAATAATTATTTGATTGTTCACTTGACCTTAATCTCAATATAGTCAAATCTAGCAAAAATAGGTTAAGAAAATAATTGCACTGCCATTTATTAATCTGATATGTTATATACATATTAAAGATCTGTCATATCTTAACTGGTTTCTGCAGTCTCCGCTGCAACCTCTGAGCTCTGAGGCGCAGCACTTTGTATGTCACGAAGCTGCATTCAAAATAGACTTCATGTCCTCTGGCAGCACACAGTTCAGATCATCGAGACGTCTTGCCAGCAATGTTCGAGTATTATCAGCAACTGGAGGGTCATTTTTTAAAACTTCCCTTAATTTTAACACCATATCAACAATTTCTACTTCTTTTTTACCAATCGACCACTTTTTAAGATCACTCTCAGCTAATGCTTCTAACTGCAAAGCATGCAACTTATTGGTTAAATTACTATGTCTCTGATGAAACCAAGCACTAAAGTTTGGTGTTCTAAAGAAATTACGATATAACCCATTCCAATCTCCTTTAATTCCTGTTGTTAATTGAGGGCCTGCTTGTTGAAGTGTAGCAAAAAAGTCTTCCGGGTTAAATGGATTAGGTACAGGTGGAGCCCGGAATGGAGAAATATTTTTCTGCAGTGGCATTAAAGAAGCCATGTAACGTTCCAAAGGAATCATAAAACTCTGTGTTAATTCTAACAAATGACGCTTAACCATTGCTGTTTGTACTTCAGATGGACGCTCTGTTCTCATTCCATTATGCAGCTTCTTTATAATTGATTTATCTTTTTCTAAAAATGGTTTGTATTGAGTATATACACCTGGAGCTGTATCTAACAGCTTAATGTTACCAACTTTTCTAAGTTTCGTTTTGACTGATGTTGCATCACCTAGCTTGATAGTGTGAGGCCAGTGTTGTAATGTTTTAGTAAAGAATGGGTTTGTAACACCCAATATTACACAAGGAGGGTTAAATGTTTTTCTTGTAAATTCTTTAAATTCACTATCATGAATTGTAAAGTATGGTCGGTATTCTGCTGAATATGGCAGTGGCTGGATTAAGTATGTCAATGCTTGAACCAAAGATGAACACTCAGTTGGGGAACTAGCCATCACTACTATAGGCTCAGCAGTTAAAACCAATTCCCATAATAAATGTAAATGCGATATTAAGCTAGAAAGAGCATCGAAAACATTAACATCTTGGATAGACACAAGTATATGAGGCACACTTGTAGAATGAATTTGTTTCGCAATATCGGACCTTGTTACTTTGCCAGTCTGATGATTAGGAATATATGACTGGAAGACTGCACCTAAAACTGGCAAAAGAACATTTTGTCCAGCATCTAAAACTGGCCATCTATTGATATCATGACAAGCAGCTTCTAAGCTGCTCTCGCCATCTTCAAAGTGTTTTGGAGCAATAAGTTGTATCACCTTGTAAAATAAATTTATAAAGGGTAATCGAGTTAGTAATATAATACTTTTCTGGAAGTATCCACGCGGTAATGATGGGTCCTTGACCTGTCGAAAGTATACGAAACCCCAATAATGTGTGGAATCCGCACGCAAAATCGGAACACTCTCTTCATTGTAATTCAACTGTTGTTGCGTCAAAGGTGAGCGCGAGCGTAATCGAACATGAAACTGTGTGTCTCCCATACATCCCGAATTAGAGTCGGGAAATGCCAAGTAACATATATTACATTTTTCTTGGTCCGTTAAACTAACTCCTGGGGGATATACACTTTCCAATGCCTGACCTAACTCTAGATCAAAAGTGACTACACAAATACAGTGAAGCCACTCAGTAAATCTACTCCATTTCGCTTGGAACTCCCTTTCTTCAGGAAGAATGTCATTTTCTTCGTAATTTTGTCGTCCACAGGCCATTTTAAATGTTATGTATTACCACATTTTGTCAAACATCAATATGTCACTATGTATATCAATGTAAATACACTGTAAACACTATAAATATATTGTTTATATGAAAACACTCGATTTTTTTAAACCATGATAAAAAAAAACAAGGGAGTGGATGCAATAGCAGTACGTCTTACAACAGCTGTTCCTTCAACATGGCTGCGCGCGCCAAAACAAAAGTTGTCCGTTTCCAGTAAGAGATTGTAATTTTATAAGAAAAAAAATAAAACATCTAGTAACTTACCAGTTCGCCATATTCTGAAATTAAACGTGTACACATTTAAACAACAAAACAATAACTTGTTAACTGTTTAATTTTTAAATAATTTATTATTTATGTTCGGAGCAAGTTAAAACTTAAAACAAAAGACAATATCGTTCCGATGAACGCAGTTGCAGTTTTTGTAATGTTTAAAGTTTAAACCAGTTTAATATACTTTATACGTAGGAGTTTGTATAGTACTTCTTTTCTTAAATTTCTTTATGATATAAATCAATGAATCATTAGACCTAAATCAATACAATTTTAATAACATTACATACTCTTTGACACAATTTTTTAAAATTGTTTTAGTACATCTTAAATTCTAAGTTTAAGCTTAATTTAAATAAAGATTTCAATTCAATCATCGTATCGCACAACCTAATCTACAACAAAAAAACGTAGCAAGCATGAAGTAGGTATACGTAGCGTAGATTAGGACAATCATAATACTCTTTGGAGTAAAGGGTTTTTGATGGGAATTCGAACGCGGACAATTTACTGCTCTTATATTAACGTCAGATTGAAATATATTTATTTGTTCGACTTAAGAAAATAAATTTCGCTTGTGAAAAGTCATATTCTTAAATCTACTACTCTGACCGGGGAAAAACGGTGAAAGAAACTCCTTAGGTATCCCCATTTTGTGTCTTTTTTTAATTAATTAATACGTTTTAATAATGATTACGATTTATATTAAGTAAAAGTGGTGCGGTTTTGTGTATTAAATGTCTGGGTATGTCCAATATTAATGGAAACGACGTTACAAGTGCATCGGTGATGATATAAATCTCAATTATTTATCCGCTGAGATCACCAAACACTAATACGCCTAGGTACTAATAATAACGTCATCAAGTCTTCAACTGTCCGCTCCACTAAGTTAGGCTGTATTCAGTACCTCTCAAAAACTTCGCGAATAATGAATCAAACAAATCTGTATGATCTAAGGCCTTTGCCTGATTTAATGAACGTATTGCCATATAATTATTATTAGAACTTTCTACCACGCGTAGCATAAACTTAGAATATACATATTCTAAGTCTATGCTTGGAATATACTGGCACTGGCATATAATTAATAATTTTCCAAAATGTTACACGTTCCTTGAATGAATGTGGTGTCAATAATAGAAATAATCCTGATGGTTGCACATTTCACAGGTAAATTCTTAAGACGTCGCGTCGTTACTGCTATAACCCGTCTATTTTGGGTTAAAACTTATGTTATATACTGTTTAAAATATAAAATATTTTAATTGTTTTATTAATTTTGATATTTTTAAAAATATTTAGAATAAAAAAAAATTAAAGATATTAAGAAAAAAGTCACGTTGTAAAAATGAATTCACCAAAATCATACAAATTATCAATTTGTATGATTTTGGTGAATTTATTTTTAAACAAAATATTTTACATATACGCTAGAGATTGATTCAACAATATCAAAATCATGTCGATACACAATAAAGAGAGGAATGAAAATAAATGCTCGAATTGCGTTCAGAAAACGAATTTTTTGCCGTTTGTCAAACAGATGGATAGAATAAAAAAATGCATTAACTTCAAAAAATTTTGGTACTTAAATATAGAGATAGATTTCATACATTATAAAACTGTAGTATATTAAAAATAAAAAATGTTGAGATTATCCAATTTAAGCAAATATGAACCCAACTGTGTAGCTATTTATCAACCAAACGAATGTATAACTTTACTTAATCACCTGTACCTTACGGTCACACTAGTACAATATTTATACCATATTTTGCCCAAAAGATTGAGTAGAGCTTCGGATTATATTCCCAAGTCACAATGATAAAACTTTTAGTGTAGTGAGGTATAGATATTTAGTAATGCTCCTGAAGCACCGCTAGATGTCCGCGCACGAGACGCGCGGTTTAGTGTGCCAGGATAGTATAAATTCCATAGTATTTGATACTAACAACGCCAGATGCCCGATTTATGCTTAATGCCCGACGACTGTGTGCCGAGGGTGTGGTTCATTGCCTACAGCTTTAGTCGTAGAGAAGAGGCATTCGTGGTTATTTAACAGTTGCGCGGATCAATAGATCTGCAATATTAAGCTGAACTTGTCGCAGACAGTCCATGGACGGGTGGCCATTTTCTTAACATAGCGAGATTGAGAGAATAGACATTGCATCTGAATCCTCATACACCTGGTACACTTTAATATCTCCTGCATATATAGCTAGTCTGTATAAGATCATTATGTTTTTAAATTCACGCGTTTAAATTGATAATAAGTTTATTATTTTTCAGGGACAGATGAAAGAGAGAGTAGCCTAATAAACATATTGGTCTTTAAACAGATTAATCTTATTGAACTGATTCCTACAAATGTCCTTACTTAAATTATTAAGTTTAAATTCATATTTAAGTCGAATATTAAAATTAATTTCTATAATGCATTTAATTATTAAGTATTAAATGTTTGTAATTATTAAAAGTAATAGTTAAAATAAAGCATTCATTAAGTACTCCGTGATCTCGTTTTTTATTTCAATGGCAAAACATTTTATTAAATATATAAAGTATAAATAGGTATACCTACTTAATAAAGTATCTACCTATTTATAGTTGATTAACGTTCTGTTAAAAAAGAAATTCCGGGGAAAATGTTCATGGCAGTAAAGAATTCTCCAAAGGTCAAAGCTCGAAAATACAACTTTCCGATCTGATTCTAGGGGGTAATTGTTTCAGTTTATCGGTAGACTCACTTCTTCAAAAATTATTGGGACTTTGTACATTTTGAATTAAAATCCAACGAAAGGCAGGTAGGTACAGCTTATTCCCGGTAACATTTTATTTAAATATTTTTTAATAATTTTAGAACTATCATGGTATAAAATCAGTAAATTTTTGAAATTATTCAGTTTCATGCACTAAACCATTTTTTAAATCTTTTACCGCTACCTTAACAATCATTTTTCGATAGTCCTTGTAAGCAAATTAAACATCACTAGCTAATGCACACAATGACAAATCAAAATTAAAAATGGTTACACATTTTCGGGCATAGACTTAGTACATAGTAAATCCTCTATCTACGTTTTCGGGCCGTCAGGTCGTCTATACGCCAGTATATTCTAAGTCTGTGATGCGTAAGCTCGTAGATATTATACTAATGGTGATCACTTCAAACTGAACATTGACCGTGTGTGGGGCACACGGTCAATGTTCAGTTTGAAGTGATCATTTAAGCTGACATCAGTTCAACTGATCACTTCAAACGGATTTAATACAAAAAAAGTTCGACACACACACGGTCAGTTCAACTGATCAGTTCAAACTAGGACTGTTGATATTTTTAAGCTATCGGATTTTCAATATATCGATAATTATAAAGATATCAATATCGGAGTTTTATATACCTAAAACATAGCGATATATCGACTTTATTTAAAAGAAAACAATCCTATATCAGCTCAAAAATTATTTACAGTTTATAATTTTATTTATTTTAAATATTTATTTATTTATTAAGAAGAAACATAATATACAAATCACAAACAAATCAAATCTAACAAAGCTTGTCGCAACTTTAAGTTTTTCGTCAAATGTAATGTCATCAAAAACATATCTTGTAAAAAAAACCATGTCTCGCAACTCAGTTCTTCTACCCTAAAAAGTTGTGCAATCCATGTAATACCAAGTCGGTTAATTTATTTAGTCCCTACTTAAGGGTCCTTCTGTCTTAAGTTATTACGTAATTAGCTAACCTAACAAAATCTTATAGTGACCACATCAATACTAAAAATCTTTTATATTTTAAATAAATAGATTGACTTGGCCATCGCATGAAAACAAAATGTATCTCTCAAGTCAGCACTAAACAATCTAAAATACATATTATATTAATTATTCTTATATTAAATTAGATTGTTTAGTGCGATTGCCAAGTCAATCTATTTATTTAAAGCATAAAAGATTTCTAAGAAGTTATGTTTTTTAAGGCATCTCATTTCTTTTTGTAGATAGTTATATCTAGGTACATATCTACAGCTATTATTCCATTTATTATACATATATAGGTACAATGATTCATTCACCGCAAATGTTACTTTGTAATCCTATATATTTATATGGGATTACAAAGTTATTTATGCAGTGGGTATATCTCGAAATGGACCGAAATCGCAAAATATTTTTATTTTCCTTGATTAATATCATCATCATTACAGCCTTTCATAAGTCCACTGCTGAACATAGGCCTCCCCCAAGGAATGCCACAAAGCACGGTCCTGAGCCACCTGCATCCATCGACTTCCTGCATGTCTTACCAGGTCGTCACTCCATCTCGTGGGGGGTCGCCCTACACTTCGCCTACCGGTACGAGACTGCCAGAGACCGCCTTATCATCGGCTTCCTAGCTCAAATACCTTTTCTACAACTAACTGTTTACATTTAAGTACTTATTCTTCACCATTTTCCCTCGCTCTGTAATCTAAACTTCTATTTCGAACTGTCTTTTGTGTACGATTAAAAACATATATTTAATTCAAGGAGTGCAGAACTTTTTATTTGCACATCATCCATCCTACGCGTCGTTAAACTGTATAAAAAAATCATTGTATTTATTATGACGTACCTAAGTCCGTCTAAAGTCATCATCATCAATACAGGCCTTCACAAGTCCACTGCTAAACATAGGCCTCCCCCAAGGAATGCTACAAAGTACGGTCCTGAGCCACCTGCATCCATCGACTTTCTGCAAGTCTTTCCAGGTCGTCACTTCATGTAGTGGGGGGACGCCATACTCGAGAACCCTTTTTCTCCATCGGTTGTCGGTTCTTCGAGCTATATGGCCGGACCTTTGCCACTTCAGCTTACTAATCCGTTGGGCTATGTCGGTAACTCTGATTCTACTGCAGATATCCTCATTTCTAAGTTTATCACGCAGATAAACCCCGAGCATAGCCCTCTCCATAACTCGCTGAGCGACTTTGAGCTTCCTCATACGGCCAACAGTGAAGAACCACGTTTCAGTTCCATATGTCAGCACTAGTAACACGCACTGATTGTACAATCTTGTTTTCAAGTTTTGGGGTATACCTGACGAGAAGATGTGTCGTAATTTC